AGCACATGTTGCACTTCCAGAGGACCCATGTTCAGTTCCCAGCACCCACATCAGGCAGCTCCCAATTCCCTGAAGCTCTAGCTCCAGAGGTTCCAGTATCCTCGTCTTCTTGCCCCCACAGGCACCTGAACTAACCTGCACACACCATACACACACACACCTACACACACACACACACACACACACACATACACACACACACAGAGTTAAAAATAAAAGTAATTCTTTTTTCCAAAAAAAGAATTTGGGCTGGGGAGATGGCCCAGTGGTTAAAACAGTTGCCATGTACGTGTGAGAACCAGAGTTTGGATCCCCAGAACCCATGTAAATGCTTGATGGACATGGCAACCTGCCTGTAATTCCAGCCTTGAAAGACAGAGACAGGGGATCCCCAGAGCAAGCTAGCTAGCAAGACTAGCCATATTGGTAAGCTATGGGCTTGACTGAGAGCTCCAGCTTAATGAATAAGGTAGAAGGGCAAACAAGGATTGCCTGACATCAACATCCGGCCTCCACATGCACCCACACAGAGACATACATCCACACACATGTAAAAAATACATGTATACATGTGCACACCACATACAGAGATGCAGAAATGGAAAAAGAAAAAACTAAAATCTTACAAGTAAGTCAAATGCATATTTTTAAGTGTTTATCTTTTTTTTTTTTTCAGGGTCTCCCTGTAGCCCCAGATGGCCTGGAATTTACTATGTAGACCAGGTTGGCCTTGAACTCACAGAGATCTGCCTGCCTTTGCCTCCCAACTGCTGGGAGTACAGCCGTGTGCCACCATGCCCAGCCCAAGTTTTAAATTTTTAATTATGTGTATATGTGTGTGGGTTTGTGCACATGAGTGAAGTGCCTATGGAGGCCAGAAGAAGGCATAAGGTCCCTTGGAGCTGGAGTTAAAGGTGGTTATGAGCTGCCTAATGTGTGCGCTGGGAACTGAACTCGGGTCCTCTTCAGAGCAGTACACACTCTTAAATGCTGAGCTATCTCTCCAGCTTCATTTTTTGTTTGTTGTGTTTGGTTGTTGGGTTTTTATTGTTTGTTTTTTATTTTGAGACAGGGTTACACTGTGTAGCCCTGGCTGGCCTGGAACTCACTATATAGACCAGAATGGCCTTGAACTCACAGAGATCTGCCTGCATCTGCCTCCTGAGTGCTGGAATTAAAGATGTGCACTACCATGCCTGATAAGTCAAATTATTTTTTTAAAAATTACATTTACCAACTCTCTCTGTGTGTGTGTGCACGCACAGCGTGCATGCATGGGCACATGCATGCTACAGAACACCTGTGTCTCAAGGTCATAGGACGACATTTAGAGTTTTTTTCCCTCTTTCTACCTTGTGGGCCCCAGGGATTGAACTGGGGTCCTCAGGCTTGGCAATAAGCACCTTTACCCACTGAGCCATCTCACCAGACACACATAAGTCAAAATCTTTATTTAAAAACAAAAAAAGCCAGGCGTGGTGGCACACACTTTTGATCCCAGCACTTGGGAGGCAGAGGCAGGCGGATCTTTGTGAGTTCAAGGCCAGCTTGGTCTACATAGTGAGTTCCAGGACAGCTGGGCCTACAAGGAGACCCTGTCTCAAAAAGACAAACAAAAACAAAAACAAAAACAAAAAAAAACTGATAGAGATCATGTTCTCCTCCCACTGAGACCACAAACTCCCTGAAGAAATTCTTTAGGTTCCACTGAAGGCAACAGAGCCAAGAGCTTCATTCAAGGGTCTTAAGGCTGAAAACTCAGCAGGCCACAGGTGTTTCTATTTTTTCAATAATGAAATATATCTCTTTGCTCACTTAGTCTTTGGGTAGATGCAGATCTTCTTGCCTTCTTTTGTGGTGAGTCTGTGGAAAACACATGAGAAGCGAAATGTTGACATCCTTAGCGTCCCCAGAACTTATAAAAGAGGAGTGTGGGAAATCTTCTGAATAGTCTTCTCGCTTTCCCTCCCAGCTGTCACACTCTGTTCCTATCCCCTCCTTTTCCCACCCTTGTTCTCCTTTGCCTCTGTTTCCCCTGGAATTTATGCTCCCGGAACTGCCTCCATCAGGAACCATGACTCAGAATGTCTAGTTTCCAGTTGGTAACCTGCACTGTGACACTGAATGCTTTCGTTTCACATAATGGGTTTATTAGATAGAATTCACACACCCTATGGACCCTCCATCTGAAATAATTAAGGCTGAGGATATTGTAGCTCAGAGGTAGAAAACCTGCCTAAACTCTCCAGTGAGGGACTGAGGGTATGGTTCAGTGACAGAGCACTTGCCTAGAATCCCTCTGATGGGATCAAGCTAAGCAGTAGAAAGCATGCCTAGGATCCTCCAGTGAGGGGTCTCGGTGTAGCTCAGTGGTACAGCATGTGACATGACATCATTTTTACTGTGTTCTATTAGCCAACCAGTCCATAAAGCTAAGCTAGCCTAAGCTCAAGGTAGGGAGTACAATATAGATCGCCATATACCCGTGGAACTGATGTAGTTAGTCATGCTTTCAAACTGTCATAAGACCCTTCCTCACCTTTATTTTCCTATTGGGGTGTGTGTGTGTGTGTGTGTGTGTGTGTGTGTGTGTGTGTGTGTGTGTGTGTGTATGGAGGGCAAAGGTAAACCTTGAGTGTTGTTCCTTAGGTATCATCTACCTTGTTTGTTTTGCTTATATATGTGTGTGTGTAGTGTGCATGCCTGTATGTGCATTCACATGTGCATTGTTGTGCATTTTGCATGTGTGTGGGGGTGTGCATGTGGGGAACAGAGGTTAACATCAGGTGCTTTTCTCTTTTGCTCTCCACCTTATATATTAAGGTAGAGTCTCTCATCCAAACCCAGAGCTCACCAATTCAGAAAGTCTAGTTAGCCAGCTTGCTCCAAGATCCTCTGTGTCTACTTCCCAAGCCGAGATTACAGGCAGGCCACCAAGCCCTCCCAGCATTTATGTGGGTGCTGGGGATTCAAACCCTGGGTTTCATACTTGCATGGCAAGCACTTTACCCACCAAGACGTCTCTTCAGGTCCTGACCTTGTTGAGTTTTTTAATTTTATGCATATGAATGTTTTGCTTGCAGGTATTCAAGCGCACCTATGCATGCAATGCCCATGGAGGCCAGAAGATGATGTTGGATCCTCTGAAACTGGAGTTATGGATGGTTGTTAGCTGCCACATGGGTGCTGGGAACTGAACCCAGGTCCTCTGTAAGAGCATCCAGTGCTCTTAACCATTGAGCCATCTCTCCAGCCCCACATATGGATGTCTTTAAATCTTCAGAAAGCCACCTAAGACTTAAAGGAAAAGAACCAGGACATTGTGAACACCGATGCTTCCTTCTCTATATGCAGATACTTCAGTGTCCTTTTTCCCATCCACAAAGTCATCTCAAAACGATGAATTCATTCATGATGTTCCTCGAGCCCATTTCCTGCTGCCTGGATGTCTGATGTTCAGTAAGTCTCTGCCCTTAAAGCCTCAAGATGGCTCCATCCTTAGCTTCCTTTTTTTTTTTTGAGCAGGGACAGAGCTGATGGAGTTGAATACATGATGGCATTTAATCCTGCCAGGAGCTCTGTGATCTCTCTCTCTCTCTCTCTCTCTCTCTCTCTCCCTCTCTCTCTCTCTCATTGCTGATGTGTTTTGCATGACCTAGTTACCTCTCTGCCTTCTGCTTAGGGTCATTTATCCTCTTCCCATCTTTATTTTTTTCTGTTTTTTTTTTTATTTCAAAAAAAACATTCCGGGCGGCATTTTGTAGACCTTATAACCCCAGGTGACCTGGATCATACTATATAGACTTCAATCTCACAGAGATCCTCCAACCTCTGCCTTCCCAGTGCTAGAATTGAAGGCGTGCAGCACCTCACCAGGCCTTCTCTCATCTCCTGATCCTTCTTGTTCTCTCAGCCCAGGGTGTCTCTGTCCTAGTCACCTGGACTTCTCCCACTTATCCTTGAGTGTTTCGGTATAAACATCACATTCTAGAATGAGCTTCTGGACACCAAGATTGGTCCTCTTGGACTGACAAGGTCCTTCCTTGTATCCTCTAGTTGATCTTTCATCAACTTGATGGGATTTAAAATTGCCATGGAAACAAAAATCTGGGTATACCTGTGAGGGAGTTTCTAGATTGGGTTACTTGAGTGTGAAAACCCACTCTAACCATCCCACGGGCTGGGGTCCTGGAGTGAATAAAAAGGAGAAAGTGGGACTAGAGAGATGGCTCAGCGGTTAAGAACACTGATTGTTCTTGCAGAAGACCAGGGTTCAAATTCCAGCACCCACATGGCAGCTAACAACTGTCTGTAACTCCAGTCCCTAACCAACAACCTCTTCTGACCTCCATGGGCATTGCACAACAAGGACACAGGTGCACTCACATACATGCAGGCAATACACTCATACATATAAAATAATAAAATAAAATAAAATATTTTTTAAAAAAGGAAAAAGCAAGCTAAGTACCAGCATTGAGCTCTCTGTGCTTCCTGACTGTGGATGGGATGTGAGCAGCTGCCTCACACTCCTGCTGCCATGCCTTCCCACCATGATGGATTGTGTCCTCAAATTGTGAGCCACAATAAACCCTTCCTCCCTTAAGTAGCTTCTGTCAGGTATTTTTTTCACAGCAACAAAAAAAGCAACTGACACAATACCCATTGCAATTGTCCTGAGCTATCTTTAACTGTCCCATTTTCTTTCGTTAAAAATGATTTAGTGCTGGGTATGGTGGCACATGCCTTTAATCCCAGCACTTGGGAGGCAGAGGCAGGTGGATCTCTGTGAGTTCGAGGCCAGACTGGTCTACATAGTGAGTTCCAGGACAGCTGGGGCTACAGGGAGACCCTGTCTCAAAAAGACCAAAAAAAAAAAAAAAAGATTTAGTGTCATTCCAGGTGGTATTTTGTAGACTGTTTCCATTGGCGGCAGTGGGAATTCTGCTGCTGGCTGGTGTCTAGGCCTCTGTGGAGGTGAATCTGGAGGGAATCGGAGCCATTGGAGCCGCTACCATGACTGTGGGCAAGAGCAGCAAGATGTTGCTGCACATTGACCACAGGATGAGATGCATCCTGCAAGATGGCCGGATCTTCATTGGGACCTTCAAAGCTTTTGACAAGAATATGAATTTGATCTTCTGTGACTGTGATGAGTTCAGGAAGATCAAGCCAAAGAACTCCAAACAAGCAGAAAGGGAAGAGAAGCGAGTCCTTGGTTTGGTGTTACTTCGAGGGAAGAACCTGGTTTCTATGACAGTAGAAGCACCACCTCCCAAAGATACTGGCATTGCTCCACTGCCACTTGCTGGAGCTGCTGGGGGCCCAGGAATCGGTAGGGCTACTGGCAGAGGAATCTCAGCTGGTGCTTCCATGCCCCAGGCTCCTGCAGGACTTGCTGGGCCAGTGCGTGGGGTTTGTGGGCCATCCCAGCAGATGATGACACCACAAGGAAGAGGCACTGTTGCAGCTGCTGCAGCTGCAGCCACAGCCAGTATTGCAGGAGCCCCAACTTGGTACCCACCAGGTCGTGGAGGTCCTCTCCCACCTATGGGCCGAGGAGCACCTCTTCCAGGTATGATGGGCCCACCTCCTGGCATGAGGCCTCCCATGGATCCCCCAATGGGGATCCCTCCTGGCCGAGGAACTCCAATGGGCATACCCCCTCTTGGGATGCGGCTCCCTCCACCAGGGATGTGAGGCCTTCTTTGATCACAGACCACAGTTATGGAAGTAGCTTCACAGATGCATGGGCCGGATTCCCCAGGGCCATGTTACTACAGACCTGTTTGTTTGTTATGCTGTTGTTCGAGGAGTCTCACCAGATTGTCTGGTTTCCTTTTCAGGGCCCCCTCCAAGGCCCTAGACTCATCTTGGTCCTCTTCAGTTCCTTGCCTGTTCCCTGAAAGGCTGTACATAGCCCTTTTATTTTTCTGTGGCCTATGAAACTAGTTTATAATAAACTCTTAAGAGAATATTTTTAAGGTGGGGTGTGGTGGCCCACGCCTTTAGTCCCAGCACTTGGGAGGCAGAGGCAGGCAGATCTCTGTGAGTTCAAGGCCAGCCTGGTCTACATAGTGAGTTCTAGGACATCTGGGGCTACAGGGAGACCTTGTCTGAAAAAAAAAAAAAGAGAATATTTAAAAAAAGTTATTTAGTGTGTGTGTGTGTGTGTGTGTGTGTGTGTATGTGTGTGTGTGTGTATATATATGTGTGTGTGTGTGTGTGTGTGTGTGTGTGTATAGATGTGTCAGATCCCTTGGAGCTGCAGTTACAGGCAGCTGATCAACATAGTGCCCTGTTTTCTTATGCAAAACTGTGTACTCAAGAGGGCTATCTTGGTTCTTTGTTGTGGGCTTCTTTCTTTCTTTCTTTTTTTTTTTTTTTTCTTTTTTTGAGACAAGGTCTCCCTGTAGCCACAGCTGGCCTGGAACTCACTATGGAGACCAGGCTGGTCTCGATCTTACAGAGATCCACCTACCTCTGCTTCCCAAGTGCTGGGATTAAAGGTGTATGTTACCACATCTGGCTAGTGTTTGGGTTTTGGGTTTTTTTGTTTTTTTTGAGATAGGGTCTTCCTATTGAGGCCCAGGTTGGCCTCAAACTCATGATTCTCCTTCCTCAGCCTCCTGAGTGCTGGATTACAGGTGTGCAGCAACATTCGGGGCTCTTGCTTTCATACTCAGCTTTAGTGCATGGCCTGGTGTCTGGCATGAAAGTCAGACTTTAACTTCATCTCAAAGTTACATATGTTGGTACAGAGCTTGGTTTTATTTTTATTTATTTTTATCTTATGTGTATTAGTGTTTTGCCTCCATGTCTGTGAGTGCACCCATGTGTGCAAAGTCCTCAGAATCCAGAAAAGGGTGTTGAAATCCCTGGAACTGGAGTTATGGGTGGTTGTTAGCTGTTGTGTGGATGCTGGGAACTGAACCCAGGTCCTCTGCAAGAGCAACCAGTGCTCTTAGCCTTGGAACCATCTTTTCAGCCCCAGTTGCTTATTTATTTATTTGTTTATTTATTTATTCATTTATTTATGTAATTTTTTTGTCTTTTTGAGACAGGGTCTCCCTGTAGCCCCACCTGACCTAGAATTCAGTACGTAAACCAGGCTAGCCTCAAACTCACAGAGCTCCACCTGCCTCCTGAGTGCTGGGAGTAAAGGCGTGAACCACCATGCCTGGCCAATTTTTAAAGATTCATTTTATTTTTATTCATTTTTTAACATTTTATTTGTTACTATTTTTAAAATTTTATTTATTGTTTTTATGTGTATGCATGTACTGCCTGCATATAAGTAAGTGCACCTGTGTTGTGCAATGCCCGCGGAGGTCAGAAGAGGCTGTCAGATACCCTGGGACTGGAGTTACAGACAGTTGTTAGCTGCCATGTGGATGCTGGGATTCAAACCCGGGTCTTCTACGAGAACAATCAGTGTTCTTAACCGCTGAGCTCTCTCTCCAGCCCATCAATACTTTCTTATTTGAAAATAGAAGCAGGAGAAATTAAATAATATTCAAGTGAACTGACCAGAGTAAATTTATAGCACAATTGATTGTTCCACACATTATGCTGGATTTTTGAGCAAAGATTTGTTGCTGTCTGGATTTTATTTATTTATTTATTTAATTATTTATTTATTTATTTATATTCATTCATTCATTCATTTATTGAGACAAGGACTTTCTTTGTAGCCCAGGCTAATCTCAAACTTGTGATCCTCTTGCCTCAGCATCCTGAGTATTGGGATTACAGATGTGTGCCACCACACCTTGCTTGAGATGAGGCTTTTAATTCAATATTTTAAGTTTAATTTAAAAATATTTATTTCTAATTATGTGTGTGTGTGTCTGTGTGGAATTATGCATGTGCATATCAATGCAGGTGCCCTTGAGGCCACCCCTGGAGCTGGAATTACCGTGGATGGGTGCTAGGAACTGAACTTGGGTCCTCTGCTAGAGTAGAGTGCTCTTAACCTCTGAGTCATCTCTCCAGGCCCAGATTCAATCCTTTTCAAACCACCTCCCTTACAGTCATCTGGAATATTTTGACTGCTTCTCGTGACAGGGAACTCCCCACCTAACACGTTCCAGCCCAAGATAGCTATAAATGTGACCATGTTCTTTTAAGTCTTTGAATAAAATCTAGCTAGGTGTGGTGGTGCAAACCTATAATCCCAGCACTCAGGAGTCTGAGGCTGGAGGATCATGGGTTTGAACCTAGCTGGGCTACAATGTAAGAAAGTCTATTTCAAAATAAAAATAAAAAAGACTGGACATGTAGCTCAGAGGTAGAAGACTTGCCTAGAATCCTCAGTAAGGGGCTGGGGGTCACGGCTCAGTGGTAGAGCACCTGCCTAGAATCCCCCAGTGAGGAGCTGGAGTGTGGCTGAGTGGTAGAGCACTTGCCTAGAATCCCCCAGTGAGGGGCTGGATTTGGTCCCAACTTCCAGACTCCCCTCTTTTCTTGGGATTTGTCTTTGCTGCTGCAGTCACTGTGATCTAGGTGACCCACAAGACCAAGTCAGGACCTCTTAGCTGGTGATGTAGCTCAGAGGTATCGCATTCACAAAACAAAACAAAACCCCTTCTTAGTATAAAGAATTTTCTCTGCAATGACCCCACCCCTTCCATTATGCTGAGGTTCTGAGTGGACAATGAGTTCTGGGAGACATTGCTTAATATAAATATCATAGATACATTGCAAAATCTCCTCCAGTCTTTACACTGATTTTCTATTTTTTATGGGTGCTTCTGTATTACTTTTCTTGTTCCTCTGACAAGGTAAAATACCCAACAAAAGCAACTTAAGGAAGGAAGGATTTATTTTCCTCATGGTTTGAAGATACAGTCCATCATGGTGGGAAGGCATGGCAGCAGGAGTGTGAGGCAGCTGCTCACACGGCATCCACAGTCAGGAAGCAGAGAGATGAATGCTGGTGCTCAGCTCCTTTTCCCTTTTTTTTGGTCTTTTTGAGACAGGGTCTCCCTGTAGCCCAAGCTGTCCTGGAACTCACTATGTAGACCAGGCTGGCCTATAACTCACAGAGATCTGCCTGCCTCTGCCTCCCAAGTGCTGGGACTACAGGCGTGTGCCACCATGTCTGGCATGTTCTCCTTTTTATTCAGTCCAGGACCCCAACCCATAGGATGGTGCCACCCACATTCAGGGTGGGTCTTCCCTCATTAAGCCTTTCTAGAGACACCCTCATAAGACATACCCAGAGGTTTCCATGATGACCCTAAATCTAGTCAAATTGATAATGAATATTAATCATCACAGGTTCTAATGAGCAAAGGTTCCTATTTTTTTTTCCCTTTCAGTGCTGAGGATGGAACCCAGGACCCCATACATACCAGGCAGGTGTTCCTACCACTGAGCCACATCCTCTACCCCTCACTGTGGGATTCTAAGCAGGTGCTCTACCTCTAACCTATATCCATTCCTTTGATTTTTTAAAAAAAATTATTTATTTATTTATTTATTTATTTATTTATTTATTTATGTGTTGGGGAGGACCTGAGCATGCCATAGTATGATTATGGAAGTCAGAAGACAGCTTGCCAGAGTCAGTTCTTCCTTCTACCTTGTCAATCCCAGGGACTAAACTCAGGTCTTCAGGCTTGACAGTGTGCACCTTTACCTCCTGAGCCATCTCGTTGGCCCTGCCCTTGGAGGTTTTTTTCTTTTGTCTTTTTGAGACAGGATGTCCCTGTTCCCTCAGCTGGCCTGGAACTCACTATGTAGACCAGGCTGGCCTTGATCTCACAGAGATCCGCCTGCCTCTGCCTCCTGAGAACTGGAATTAAAGGTGTGCATCACCACCCCCAGCTATGTCCTTGGATTTTTGAGACAGAATCTTACTTTGTGTTCTGGGTAACCTGAAACTTATGGTCCTCCTGCCTCTACCTCCCAAGTGCTAGGATGACACGTTGGCCAAAGCCTCAGATTTTTAGTATGTTTCCATCTCCAGCTGCTCTCCTTCTTCAGCTAGTGATTATTATGAAACACGAGGGTCTCTCCAACCAAGAGGCATTTCCATAAATGAGCTTCTGCTGGACTCTCCCTTCTTGGTACTTATGACAGTGCCCTGTCTGAGAGACCTGAGTGACTCCATCTTGGATAAAACCTCCATAGGACTGACCCAGCCCTGGGCCCTGTTCTAAGAAAAATCACAATACTTGGAACGCATAGAGAAAAACTCCCCCGCCAAATGTCAATTAACCAGGGACAGGAAAGTACTAAAAGTCCAGATATCTTTTCAGATTTCCTGAAGCCAGCAGTTTATGGTTTGGCACTGAGCTGCAACCAATCAGATGCTTGCCAGGCTGAAGACCCCCTACTCCCCTTCTTGCTGAACTTGCTGAAATAAACCTATAAAAACCTCTGTCCCCCAAAGCAAGGGGTCTCACATCTGAGATCCGCTGAGTCGGTGACAGAGTGGGCCCAAGCTTAAGCTTGTAACAATAAAAGAACCCTTGTGTATTTGCACCGGTTGGCTCCTTGGTGGTCTTTGGGGGTCTCTCATGAACTGGGCACAACAGTCCAGGGCACTGAGGATGTCCAGTTTCTTTTTGTTTGTTTCTTTTCTTTTTTCTATTTTGGTACAGAAGATTGGACCCAGAGTCTTGTGCTATACCCCCTGTGCTGGATAGCTTAGTTGTCAACTTGACATACCTACAAAGAGGGAACCTCACCTG